GGAGTCGCAGCGGGGTGGGGCGGAGAACCCACCTCCCTCCTGCCTGAAACATTCCTGGTGACCATCAAAGTCAGGGACCACAGCCGGGGATGTAGCTCAGCAGCACAGCGCCTGACTAGCAAGCGTGAGGCCCAGATTTTGATTCCTGGTACCAAAAAAAGAAAAGAAAAGAAAGGAAACAACAAAGTCAGGGACCAGACATCCTTCCAGCCCCTCACCCCTAGCATAAGTTTAATAAGCATTTCCTGCGGCGCTGCTGAGTTCTGGGCAGACTTATAAGCACAAGCTGTTGGGCAGGTCAGGGGCTAAGCCCTGCCTCTAGCCTGGGTCTCGTCTGAGCGCTGATGTTCATTCAGTCCATGGGTGGACTTCGGGGTGACAGTGCTAGATCCAAAGAAAGCAACAAGGTCCAGAGAAAGAGACAAGGCCGTTAGTTCAATAGGAAGTTCACACACAGAAGGAATAATTTTTTAGTAGAAATATGTCCTAAACATTGCATGGGACAGACTTTTATTACATTTTGTGTTGGTTCTCTGAAAAGTCAAATTTCTCCAGGAGTTTTAGGTTTTATACGTCAGTCCTACTGGAAAGAGTATTGCCTGCTTCTCTGAACCTCAGTTTTCCGTCTGGCAAATGAGGGCCCTGGAGTAGATGTCCTCCCTGAGGGCGCCTGTGGCCTGGCTACCGCCCTGCAGCCCCGCTGTAGCTCAGCGAGCCTTTCTCTCCAGCCACCAGGGGGCGCCCTGACCCTCCTCCGCGCTTGCCGAGCTGGCCCCGCTGGCTCTGGGGGGCCATCTGGCAACCAGGTTGGAAGCCCCGCTATTGAAAAAGGGAGAGGGAGATGTGAGAGACCCGGCCATCTCAGCCAGCTGCCGACGCCATCGTTTAGGCTGCGTCTTGACCTGCGCCTCTTTACAGCACCTTTTTATTTTCCATCTCCAGTTGGTTGTGCAAACCTAGGCCAACGTCCCAGCCCCACGTAGCCCACTACTGAGACGCCCCTG